ATTGACACTCCAGAACTAGCTAACTCTGTCTCCACAATGTAATAGAAGAAAGGCTTCTTACCCATCCATTCATTCATTCATTCATTCATTCAGGGAATAATGCATTCTCTAGAAGTTTGAGCTCCAACAGCTCGGTGCCTTCTGAGTTGTCATGGAGACTTTGCAGACCATTAAGAGCCCCAGGATTGGGCATTGTCTAACCAAGCACTGTCCCACAGACATATAATATGAACCACGAATGCAAGTCATATATGTGATTTAAAATTTTCCCGTGACCACATTAAAAAATTTTTTAAAGATGAAATTAATTTAATAATATGTCTTATTTAACCCAATGGATACAAAGTATACATCTCAATATTTAATCAATATACAAAATTATTGATATATTTTACCTTTTTTTTTTGGTCTTATATGTTTGAAATCCAGTATGTACTTTTGAACACACATCAACTGGGGCTGGCTTTATTTCAAGTGCTGTGTGTGGCTACTTGTTACCACAAATCTCCCCTCTTGTTGAGAGGCCAACATGGGGGTCTCAGAAGGTCGAAGGGCCTCCTTGTTAGATTTGCCACTCCTATGACCTGCCTGTATGTTGTTCTCCTTGCCCCGAGATGTGCTTGCTCTTGGGTCACTGACTCATGTCCTAGCTGCCTTTGTGTCCTGTGGTCTGAGGGACTTAACTTGAGCCAGATTTCCTGACACCGTGCCAACTTTCCTCTGTGCTTCCTTTCTTCCCCTTCAAGTCCTTGCATGTCACTGTGATATAATTCAAAGCTTCTGAGGGCTAGGATTCAATGGACCCAACCCAAACAGGAAACTGGCTTTCTCATTGTTTATTAGGAACCATGAAGCAGAAAATGTCAGACACTTGTTTTCAGTGCTTCATTGAGCTGGGATTGAATTGAAACTCAACTATTCCCAATGCGGTCTTCTGACGTCGAATGATTTAGAGGCTTCAACTCTTTAGATGGAGAGGACTAATGAGGGCATGAATTGACCCTAAACTTTCCTTGCTCTGATCATTATCACTGGATGCCTCACCTTTTGCTTAGAATCTTATTAGTCAGAGGCTACAAAATCTTGTATGAAGCTGGGGTATCCTAAAGTACTCTGGGAATATTCCAGCAAGTATTCCACAAAGTCTTTCTGTGTAAAAGGTCTCGGTTTAAGTCTCTGTCCCAAACTCCTTTGTGAATGCCACAACAGACAGTCTTGTCTGCCGCCCCGTAGTGCTCTCCAGGGTGGTCTGGGCACAGAGGTACTGTATACTGTGTACGCCACCATGGTACACGTGTTTGTCTGCTTGTCCGAGAGCCGTTCCTCCTGCTTTCCCTGCAGTATGGCAGGTCTCACCTGCTACAGTGGAGGCCGGCAATGCCAGATGCATGCTTTCCCAGACTCCTTTGCAGCCAGGAACGGCCATATATCCCAGTTCTGCCAAAAAGACACAAGTGAAGGTATCTGGGGAGAGCTTCTGGGGAAGATTTTCCTCCCTGATAAAAAGAGAGAGCCGTGAAAGAAAGACTCTCTTGCAACTCTGGTTGCCTCCTCCTTCCTGATGTGTTTGTGATGTTTGTAACAAGGCCCCTGTTTTGGGACCATGAAGCAACACGCCTGAGGATGAAAATGAAGTCTCTGGAGGATGTTGAGAATGCTGAGGAGGATGGCAGGACGTCGTGTCCTTGATGACACTGTTGTGCAGCTTCACTAAACTTGGAACAGAACTTTCTGCTTTAGGAATGAAACTACTGTTGTTCTATTACTTGCTACCGAAAGCATGCTGCCCAGTATGGATGCCTGGTATTTAATGATATGTTCTTATCTTCTGTTTCTTAGAAGGAAGAAGTCACTGAAATACTCTTTCTTCAGCCTTGTTGTCCAGCTACCTCTTACTCATCTCATCACCACGCTACTCCCTTTACTCATTTACTTGTCGGTTCACCTCATAAAGTTCTTGTGAGGACAGTGGCCATGACTATCTGGTTCACTATGGCAGTCCCAATTCCCATTAGGTAATAAATAGTCATTCAATAAATATTTGCCAATTAATGAACCAATGGGGGCTATCAGGGAAGTAAAATCCCTAGAATTTGGCTATTGCCTAGAGGTGAAAGAATGAACCTAAAAATGGCACACTGTTTCTGGCTCGAGTAGTAGGCTAGAGGGTGCTACCTTTCCCCATAACTCAGCACAGAGGGGAGAGCAGAGTAGTTGAAGAAGATGAGTTTTGCCCTGGATGTGTTGAAACTGATACTTTTGGAACGGTCCCCATAGACAAAGAGTCTGGATTAAGGCTCTGGAAAGATGGGATTGGACAGGCGGACATATAGCATGAGAGGAGAAGTGACTCTTCAGTGCTCCCATCCCTCTGTGGCACCACCATCCACCTTGTAATCCAAATGAGAGTTCAGGAAGTCATCCTTGACATTTCCCTCTCCCTCACTTCCCACATGGATCCATCACCAAGTCCTGAGGATTCCACCACTTGTCTCTCACACGCATCAACTTCTTTCCATCTCCCTGCCCTCACTGGAGTCTGAGCCAACTACCTCTCTCCTGTGTTACCGCAGTGGTCTACTTGATTTCCCAAATCCACTCCAATCCTTTCCACTCACTGTGGTCCAGCCATGTCTGTCTTCTCTCACTTCTTGAAACCACCATTCTCCTTGTCTCAAGCCCTTTATGCACGAGCTTCTATCTGCCAAGAACACTGCTCCCTCCATCCTCCACCTTCCTCCACCTGCCCGTCTCTGGCCTACTCTTCAGGTATAGGCCTAAACCTCACACCCTCGGGAAGGCCTTCCCTGACTACCTCCCACCCCACCCACCTTTGTAGCCTCAGAAATTTAACTTCGTTGGAAACACCATGGGGTGATTTGGGTTTTGGTGACATGTAAAAAACAAAAAACAAAAACAAAAACCTTTACAAAAACCTATTATCAAAATGGAATTATTAATTACAAGGAGAAATCTAACTATCGAGGGTCAGAAATTCACAAGTATGGACAAATCCATTGTTTCCCTTAGAAGGCAAATCTACACAGGAAGTCAAATAGCTTGTGAGTACAGGCTCAGACAAGGGGCATTAGCTTCTTGATCTAAATGATTACATTTGCTAAACTGTGATTCCTCCCAGTGTGCCCATTTCCACCACAGGGGGTCTCCCTTGACACCTGTTCCTGGTCCATGACTCCCAGAGCTGAAGAACCCCTGCCTTTGTCTGCCTGCAACTCCTAAGCTTCAGTGGTTGACCTGCCCTCCCATCAGATGTAAGCTTGCTCTGGCTGTGTTAACACCTACTTGGTTAACACCTACCTGGTTAACACTTAGTAAGGTAAAGGTCAGACCCAGGAGCAGTCTTTTCTTTTAGATGATTTCACATATGTCTGCTTTGATCTACTACATGTCTTTTGTAGTTCTATTTTAAGATGAAAGCAGACTGGTGAAAGCAGACTATTAAAGGACTTAAATCGGGGCGCCTGGGTGGCTCAGCCGGTTAAGCGTCTGCCTTCGGCTCAGGTCGTGATCCCAGGGTCCTGGGATCGAGCCCCGCATCGGGCTCCCTGCTCGGCGGGGAGCCTGCTCCTCCCTCTCCTCCCCACTCATGCTCTCTGTCACTATCTCTGACTTTCTCAAATAAATAAATAAAATCTTTAAAAAAAAAATAAATCCACTTCTTTCAAAGTCTATTATTTACTATATTTGTTTAAATTCCTTCAAGATCTGTACTGGTGAGTGTTAGCGAAGGGCATTCTATAGCCTTGAAGCTCCAAGCCTTCTAATGATTGGGGGGGGAGTGTTAGTGCAGGTTCAAGAAGCAGGTTTTACTCTAAAGACGAAAACCTTTTAGAAGGAAGTTGTTGGAATAAAGGGAAGGCTGAAAACTTTGTTATGCATAAAACCTCATGCTGTACTTAACCACCTCAAAAATATTCCTGCAAGTTTGTCTCTAAGAAGCCACCTTGGAAAATCCTGATCTCCTGTCAGCTTAACCTCCTATCTCAACATATTCCATGTGAATCAGGTACCATGGGTAACTTTATATAGCACTTGTAATATTTAGCTGAAAAGCCTTAAAAACCTTCTCTCTGTTTTCTACCTCAGACCAAAGGGGGCATTTAATGACCAGATCACTCTCGTAAATTTATTGTCTTGAAACAATAGGTAGGAGAAGGTATTTTTTTGGTTTGTTTTTTGTTTGTTTTACAGAGAGAGCATGCACACATGTGCGTGAGCTGGGGTGGGGGGAGTTGGGAAGGAGGAGAGAGAGAATCTCAAGCAGGTTCCACACCCCGGGCATAGCCCGAGGCGGGGCTCCATCTCATAACCCTGAAATCATAACCTGAGCCAAAATCAGGAGTCAGTCACCCAACTGACTGAGCCACCCAGGCGCCCCTTGGAGAGGTTTTGTTCTGACAGAGGGCACTCCAATGGGGCTAATCTACTGAAGCCTTCTCTTATTTCTTGTTTGGGTTGCTTTTGAACCTTGGGGTGAGTTTCCATTCTTGCCATGTTTTCTTTCAAACATGCTAGCTGTGGATGTAGGGAGGTGGGAGAGAGGAGTGTGGCGTGGCTTCACCCTCAGGGGTAACATTCCTCCCAGGACGCTGACCGCTTAGGTGTGCCCAGCCTTAGTCCTGGGGTGGGGGGTGCCTGGGGCCTCTATGGCATGCATAGAAGCTGCCTGGATATTCATCTCAAAGTGTTAAGAGTGTGCCCTGAACATCAGTGACTGCCCTAAGTAACCCATTCTCATCCCTGAGCGAGGAGAATGATACGGACTTGAGAGGAGACCCACGGGGATGGGTGCATACCTCTGAGTTGAACAGGGTTTGCTCAACTACACATCTGGTGTTACCAGTATAAGAAAGGAATAAGGATACCAGTACATCAAAATACAAGCAATTCTAAGCAATACACACGTATGCATGTGATTGTTAATATCCACGATAGCAATAAAAGGCCTATGTGACTTTTAAACAAAATTTACACAAAACTGAGTTGTGAGTATAATTTTATTCATATTCTTAATTGGAAATTGGTTATACGGACAATAGGAAAGAATACAAGTGATCCCTAAGAAAACTAACAAATTACTCACTTCATTTCAGGATAATACTTAGTAACAAAAATAGCTTGAGAAAATTAATACCATTTAAATTAGACAATGTACAAGGCTTTAGAATGTTCCTATCTACACGTCTCTGTGAGCCCACCAGGTGAAGGCACAGAGAACACTCTAGAGCTCCTCGTGAAGATGGGCCTGAAGACACGTTAGAAGCTCTGGTTCGCTCAACCACGGCCCAGGTTCTTCCCTCCTGGTTATCTTTGGTTCTGCTTGCTTTTTTGTGTCCTTCCCCCGACCCCCCCCCCCAAATCTTATCTCACAAATTCCCTAACAAGGGAGATCTCTGTCCGAACAATGAAAATCTAGTTTTTCCACAGGAATGCACATGACTCTATGACAGTTGCAAATTCAGGGCTTCAAAAGGCTTTGGTTACAGGGTTGTTAAATTGGAACAATGTTTGTGTTCCTGAGAAAAGGAAGAAGTGGACTTCTCCCCAGGTATTTGTAGGTTTCCTTCCCCTCTTCTGTTTATTTGTGCAGCACACTTTGTGTTTTGCCCTGAGCGCTGGAAACCCAAAGGGGAAAAAAAGCCTTTAGGCTTTCACGATTTCTCTTTTTGAATCCTCCAAAATACTGAACTGATATAGACTCAAGTAGAAGGTAGTGAGCGGAACTTTCCACGGCATCCTCAGCATGTTTGGGTATATAGAATGTTTATAGGACTGATAACTTTAAGATTAAAACAAACAAAAAACCAAACCAAAACAAAACAGGAGAACCCTTTACCGGTATGTCTTGTCAGGTTTCTGAGTGAGGATATTGTGAGCCTGCAGAAAATGATGATTTTTTTTTTTTAAAGTAAGAAACTCAACAACTTCCAAGCACCCAGAAACAATCTGACCTTCACTTTCAGTCTTTATAAGATATAAGACATCCTCAGATGAATTGCAAATGTGGTTTTAAAGGGCCTTGGATGTTGATAACTTGGTTCTATGCATTCCTGGCATTTACGAAATCAACTTGGGGATTAAAGTAAAAATGGCTATGCCAAGTATTTTATAAAAATGTAACTTTTCGTTAATATCTAGGAACTGGTGAGGCCAGGAACTTCTCTTAATTTACCTCATTGAAAAAACAAATCCATTCTCATAAGAAAAAGATCATAAACTTTACTTAAAACATCCTTTGCGATGTCCTAAGAAAAATAACACTACAAAATAATTTTGACTGATAAAACCCCTTTCTCCCTCCTAGAGCTGTGTCAGCGGGAAAGAATCAACCATCTCCTTGTAGGAGAACGCCGCACACACACAGGGCAGCATCCAGGCCCTTCTGCCCAGGAGCTGGAGAACGAGCTGTGGGCACCACAGCTGTCCCGCATAACTTGTATTGATTTTAAACAAGTCAAACTGCTTATCGGAGAATGCTGGGTTGACTTTGATTTTGGGACCATGAAGTCCATTCACTGAAGCCTTCGTTGGTTTGTAGAGCTTAATTTTTAATACTGTTAACATCATGTAGCCAACCAAACACCAAGAATATCAATAAATAACAAGCTCTGGTCTCACGTCTTCTTCCTGTTGGAGCGTTTGACTTTATGAATAGATTACATGTCTAGCACCAGCGCCCCACCAGGGCAGACCATCTGGATGCGTCTCTCACATGTTTGGGGGTGTTCCTGGAGTCTAAGAGGAAGCCACAGAAATGAGCCTAAGAGCAGATTGCCAATGGGGCAGTGTGAATGTTGTTGCTAATGAAAAACAGCAGTTTGCCGAGACCCTGGGAGTCACCTGGGGCAGTCGGTCAGTCCCCCCTTGGGACCTGGGCTGTGGGTGGGGCTTGCCCTCACAAAGGGCTTTCAACCATCCTTTTTTTCTTGGCTTGGAGGTAGAAGATGCGGTTTTCTTCAGGATAAGTGACTTTGCTGAGGGGCATCCTGTAGATGTTGGCATTTTTCGTGGTCACCAAGAGGAAAAGTAATGTGGCCAAACAGAAGGGCCAGGTGCAAGCCGGCAATCCCGCCTGAAGAGGAAGACACAAACCACATGCTCCTTTGAGACCCCGTCACAGAGCACCACCCTTCATCCTATTCTCATTCAGCCCAGGGGGATGCGTCCCTGGGCTGCCGATCTGGACTCGGCTTCTGCCCACCGGGACCGAGTCCAAGGGCCCAGTCGGACTGCATTTAGCAGGCGAAACGTCGCCGTCCATTCCTCCGGTGGTCAGTGGCACATCCACCTTGCGCATCTTTCCCTCCTCTCATCCAGCCAGGCTTCCTACACCACATGTGCGGAGAGGAGCCCAGGCAGCCAGAGGTGTCACTCTGCAAGCTACCAGGGGCTCCTGACCCCTCACCACACCCACAGGGCCCTCCTTGATTGGTTTGGTCTGTGGTGAGCTCTCTCCTCCTGACTCCCACCCAGACCAGTCTTGGACTTCCCTTCCTTTCGTTCCAGTTCCCAAATAGACTCTAAGCTCTTGGAGGGGAGGTCCTTCCTCTGGGCTGTTCTTGGCAACTCGTGCAGTTCTGAAGAAGGTCAAGGGCAAGACAGTGCTGAAAAGGAAGGAGGCACTAAACAGGCAACGATTTTGCCTATTAAATAATTCAGCTAGGACATGGGTCTGAGTACGTCTTACGACTGACGAGGAGTTTAAAAAAAGACAAGGGGTATGAACAACGAATGGCTCAATTAAAAACAAAACCCAAACCATTTGGGTCTGTAGGCAATTATCCTTTTCCTCCCTTTCTTGATTTCTCAACCACTACCTGGTTTTGGCTTTCTGTTCAAGTAGAAGATATTCTAAAGTCAGTTCCCTGATCCTCAGAGTTAGAGTAGGAACTTGATAAATATGTTATACAGCCTTTCACTTCTTTAAATTATGCAATCTGGTATTTTTATTTTTTTGTTTTTTTTAATCTGGTATTTTTTTAGCAAGCCCAGTGATTGTAGTTTGGACTAAAATTTACTATGATGTTAGCAGGTGTGTGAACAGGCAGGTCCAGGAGAAGGGAAGATCGTGGTGACCACAGCCCTGGCTCCTGCTGGAACACCACCAGGGGGACCCCAGGAGGGTTTCCACGTCACTGAAAATGGATCAACCATGCTGATGATAAAGCGAGATTAAAGCCAACTCACCACAGCCATCACGTGGGACAGGCTGACTCCAAGGTAGGCCGTGAACAGAGCTACAAAAAGAAGGGAACAACAAGACTTAGTAGGTGCACTTTTCATTACAGGGAAGACTGCTTTCTGGTATAAATCTCCTGGAAATCCATGTTTCACCAGCTAGCTCGGCACCCTGGTTACAAGTAGGAGCTTACAGTCGGCAGCTCTGGGTTCAAATCCAGACTCCACCACTTAGGAGCTTGGTGGCCCCCATTCTAAGCCTCCACTTCCTCACCTGCTCAATAGAGGTGATAGGAATTTCTCACAGGGTTGGTGTCATCATGAAAGGAGATAATACTTGGGTTCAGCACACAGTAAGAGGTACTCAGTAAAGGGAGTTTTCAGTGGTTACTATTCTGTTGCTATTATTGCTGATCCCTAAGGAAAAGGCCTTCTATGGCAAATTAACTTCCCTGTTATTTTATCTGAGCATAGTTGAATTAAAATGATGGGGGCGCCTGTTAAGCGTCTGACACTTGATTTCAGCTCAGGTCATGATCGCAGGGTTGTGCAGTCGAGCCCCACTTTGGGCTCCACACTCAGTGTGGAGTCTGCTTGAGATTCTCTCTCTCCCTCTCCCTTTGCCCCTCCCCCACTTGCTCTCTATCTCTCTCTAAAATAAGTAAAATCTTAAAATGAAACGTATGAATGTTTCTTGAGATAGCATGGTTTCTGTGAAATCACAATATATGCACCTAGGAGTCTCATATTAATGGTTAGAATTCACAGTTACAAAAAAATCATGGTATAAAAAAATAAAAAGCAGAAACTGACCACAAACTTGGGATTTCTTCCCATAAAAACATTGTTCCAAATACCATTAAGATTGGCATATAGGCCAATGAATTCATATGCTGTGTTTTTATTTACTCTGAGTGAGTACGGATCTTAAAGTAGGTAATTTGAGTCTATGTGTGACCCTCAACGTAAAACAACACACACAAAGATCTCAAGTAGCTAATCATCAGTTGAAGAGGGGGCTCGGGGAAGTTCAGGGAAGCTCAGGTTTCACAAAGGCATGCTGCAGAATGACCGTGCATTGGCCACCCAGCCCCCTGGGCCATGGCTGGCTCTGTTAGACATGCCCACCACCTAGACCTCCAGGGCAGGGAGAAGTGACATGAGCCCCCAGGGGGGCAGGGTGGGAAGTGGGGGGAGGGACTCTGATCCTATTTACTTTACCATCCTTTCATCAATCTTTGGTCTTTTTATCCTGGTATTTTTGTTCAACAGTATACCCCATTTTTTCACATCTGAATTGTCTCATGCTAGGGGGAAAGGCTTGTCTTGGAAACAGCCTGGGCTTCAAACCCCGGCTCTGCCATTTTATTGTACAAAAAAATCACTGAACTTGGGAATCCAGTATTATCGTCTGTAAAAGGGCAACTTGACGATGCGCTTTACATGGAGGAGATGAATCTCAAATGCAGTCTTGTATTTCCACAAACAGCCACTGTCAACCCATCCATGTCCCCAGGGGTGTGTGGGGGGGGACCACGATGCTGCTCTGAGCAGAAGCGGGCAGTGGCTTGGTTTGGAAGAGCTTCTTTGTTTGGTTTTGATAATTTCATTCTTTTTTTTCCCCCTTTCATTCTTCCTTCCCTCCTTCCTTCCTTCCCTCCTTCCTTCCTTCCTTCCTTCCTTCCTTCCTTCCCTCACTCATTCAACAAATACTCACTGCCTTCGGGTAAGCACCAGAACACTCTGCCCTGCTCTCTTGGGTACCGGCTCTTCTCCGAGACCTCCCCTGAGCCCCTGAGTCCTTACTGCCATTCTTCTCCTTTTCACACGGGTCGCACCTGGAAGGCACAGTTACCGCCCCGGTCTCTTCCTGCTAGGCTCCTTCCAAGTGGTCTCCGATGACAAGTTGCTTTTCTTTCCACAGTAAGAGCATCAGACTGTCTAACAGTAGCTGCCATCAATTAAGGCTTGCTGCGTGGGACCGGGAGAGCCTCCCATTAGAGGAGAAGTCTGCACACCACAGGGTGTAGGCGATGACTCTGACAGTGCTCTGGGCAGCCGAGGGACAGAAAGGCCCTGAGTGCTGAGCAGTGTCCATCCCAGCAGACCGCCGTGGGCCAGTCCTACTAGGGCAACCCAAGCATTGAAAGGGGACAAAATGTCGGGGCGCCTGGGGGGCTCAGTCAGTTAACCCCCTTCTTTTGATTTCAGCTCAGGTCCATGATCTCAGGGTCCTGAGATCGAGCCCTGCCTTGGGCTTGCACTGGGCGTGGAGTCTGCTTAAGATTCTCTCTCTCCCTCCGCCCCTCCCCATCTCTAAATAATAAAAAAAAAACCCAAAAAACCAAAAAGAGACAAAATGTGTCTCCAGTTTGCGCTGACAAAATAACAAAATTGAGGAATTCCCTGGTGGGCAGTTTCCGGTTTCCAGGCAGGGCAGGCGGCCCTGCCAGGCTCTATCAGAGCTTCCCCGCTCTTCTGATAACACCATCGGAACCAGGGAAAGAGCAACTCTGTAATAAATGTCTGTTATTTATTTGCCCTGGCTGGCAGAGTTGGTCTCTCGTTTGGCAGGGTCAGGGTGATGTGGGCAAGCTGGAACTTGCTGTGACATTTTCCATGTGAGACTTGCTTTACAAGAGGGGCTGGAGGTCTGCCTCCACACTTTCTGTCCAAAGACGGAGAGGGGCAGGACCCAGTGTGGATCAAACAGCCACTCTCGCACATTGTCCGTGGCAGGGGAAATCCGTATGGCCTCTGTGGGGGTGAATGTGGCATCTGCTGAAATTCAAATGGGCAGAGCTAGGATTTTGGCCCCAGGGTCTGGGCTCTCCGCTAATTCTGTATACTGCCCTAACCGTATGCTACACCAGTGGAGAAAATCTGACCTGTCCAAGGGAAGGTAGGCGCGATAGGCGGAATAATGGCCCCCAAAGATGTTCCCGTTCAAATCCCTAGAACCTGTGAATATGTTAGTTTACAGGGCAGAAGGGGCTTAGCAGCTGTGATTAAGTTAACGATCTTGACATGGGGAGACTAGCTGAATTATCTAAGTGGACCCAGTGTAACCACAGAGTCCTTGTAAGAGGGAGGCAAAAAAGTTGTATCGAGGGAGTAGGGTGGAATGTTTTTACTTTCTGCTTTATACTCTTCTGTATTTACTGAGTTTTTGTTTGTTTTGTCTTGTACAATAAGCCTGTACTACACCTATAGTGAAGAAAATAATGAAGATATTCCTGCTTTGAGGAAACCCATCTGCAAACATCTTTGGCTTCATCCCTTCCCACACTCTGTCAAGATCTCATCAGCAACTCTTGTGTCCAAAACAGTGTCTGCTTGATCTTGAAGGATGTGCTCAGGCCGTCCCCATGCTGGCCCGGACCTCCCCCTCCACCAACCAGACTTCCTCCTCTCGATTTTTATGACGTACAGAGAAGCCACCTTCTCTAAGAGGTGCTTCTTGATGATTCTGAACTGTGATGCTCCCCCAGAGACTCTGGTACTGTAGACATGTCCTTGTTCCCCTCCCAATATTCATATGGTCTCCGTGGGCTTCTCTCACCCATCTGGCTTCTGCCCTGGACCATAACACTCTCCGTGCAGAGCAACTTCTGGGATCTACGCTGCTGAGCCCCTAGCTCTTCCTAATACTGTCTGGGCTGTTTCATGAGCATTTAGTATGTATTTGTTGTTCCTGCCAACCCAGACACATAAAGGTATGCACCTCGAATAAAGATTTGAAACCTCAAACAATCTCACAATAAAGCTTCTAACCTGGCCTAGCTCAGGTGGCACGTAATCTGTCTTCTCCCTTGCCCTAAGCTTGTGAACAGATGTGGGAAAATGAGCAAAGAGCTTTGATGGGCTTAGTTGGTGGAACAGCTGTGTACTACAAAGAAGTGGGCAAAATGACATGGACATGGTACCACCACAGCAACCTGAGATGTGTTAACCTTGCTACAGCTTCGGAAGATCGAAATTGAATGAGGCCTTAGGAATCCTCAGTCCCACCTCCTGCCCAGTGCAGGAATCCATTCTGAATCCTGCCTGACATGTGGTTGACTCTTTTATTTTTTTTATTTAAATTGAGGTGTAATTGACATACAATATTATATTAGTTTCAGGTGTACAGCATAGTGATTCTACCTTTGTATACATTGTGAAATGCTCAGCTCGGTGAAGTCTTGTCACCATCTGCCACACACACAAAATTAATACAATATTATTGACTCTATTCCTCATGTGGTATATGACACCCCATGGCTTATTTATTTTATGACTGGAAATGTATACTTCCCTTTACCCATTCACAACCCTCCCCCCCTGCCCCCCACCTCTGGCGACCACCAATCTGTTCTCTGCACTTACTGAGTCTGGGTTTTGCTTTGTTGTGTTTGTTTTTTTAGATTCCACCTGTAAGTGAAATCATATGGTATTTATCTTTCTCTGTTTGACTTATTTCACTTAACATAATACCCTCAAGTTCCACCCGTGTTGGTGCAAGTTGCAAGATTTCATTCTTTTTTATGGTTAAGTAGTATTCCATTGTGCATGTATATTTGTGATCTGACATTTTAGTAGCAGCTTAGATAACTTGGATTGATTCACCTGGTGATAAACTGACTCTAGGCAAATATTTCTATTGGTTAGGAATGATTTCTGCACCTTCCACCATCCTCCGCCCTGCATATCCCCCAGGGAGGGTCATTCCCTGCACTCTTAACAGATTATCTTAAATACTTTTACTTTGAATTGGATTAGGGATGCCAGAGGCTCTGGGTGAATAAGCCTCCCCTTTACAAGGGCCTGAGAAATCCATTAGCTTTTCAAATCTAAATCACTTGAGCTCTGTTTTTACCTCAAGGCCTGAATGCTGCCACAGGGAAGCTGGGGTAGTGAGTGGTTGTAATTCCAGAGGTTGTTAGCAAATGTGGATTCTGGGCTTGCATTTACCCTAACTGACTGGATGCCCTTCAGCACATCACTTTACCTCTCTGGCCTCAGAACCCCAATAGTAAAATGACGGGGCTGGGGCGGAGATCTGCAGAACCTCTCCTAGCTCTGACAGGCCGAGGCTGGCTAGAATACCGGGGTCAGAAGCGGTGAACACAGTGCAAGACGTGGCCCCCAGAGCACCAGCAGCAGCACTGTCTGGCCCTCTTTAAATGCCAACTCCTCCCTACCTCGAACGAGGAATCAGACACGGGGTACTGGGGCGGGGGGCAGCCATCTGTGTTTTAACAAGCCTTCCAGGTGATTCTGACGTCCCCTGAAGTGTGAGAACAGCTAGATTCTTGTGATTCTCAAAGGGCCACATGTAGTCCTACCTGATTCAGCAGGAGGAATGGCTCTGTATCTAGCTCGAGTCATTTCATCTTAGTTTCTTGGGTCAAACGATGAGTATGAAGAAATAGGATGAGTCAAGTTTCTACCTCCCCCCTTCCCCTCCCCCATATACAGATGGCAAAATGGTTAACCCGACTCAACAGGCTCTCCTGTCCTCATGACAGCCAATGAGGAGGGCACAGCAGAGCTTAACCCTCCCGGGGAGGGGACGCCACTTGTCCTGCTCACACATGCAGACAGCCGGGGGCCCACACTGGAACCGCAGCCCCAGCGTCTCACACAGTCCCTTTGTACTGTGTGGACTGATCCTATAGTTATGAGCAACCCTCCCGCCAGTGCACGGAATACTCACCACAGGCAAGAGCCAGGATGTGCGTTTGCCAGGTGAGAGCCATGAACATTCCTCCAATTGCAATGCAGGCCAGAGAGCTGTTGAAACCCCAGAGTCCAAGGTAGATGTTCTCAAATGGTGCCGAGACACTGAGTCCTATTAGGTGAGACAGGTGAAGTCAGGGCTGGGCACCAAAGGCAGGACGCTCTGGAAGGAGGCCAGGGGTGGGGGAAGCTAGTCCCATTGGTCCCTGGGAAGCAGAGCCCTCAAGAAAGCCTGGCGTTTGGAAGATGCCTGAGGGGAGGCATGCGGGGCAGGAGCTGCTCGATGTTTGCTCACCTGCTGCTATCCCCAGCAGCGACCCGATGGCAGCATGCAGGGACATGAGTGGGGAGGAGAGCAGAAGGGCGACCAGGAAAATGCCCCCTGTCCACGGGTTATCACAGCCGTAGATCTGGCCCACACCCACGGGCAGCGATTTCAATAACTGCAAAGCGATTTAGAAAATGAGCTCATTAACACAACTGAGCAGAAAGCCGCGGGACCCCCACAAGCGCATACAGTGTCATGTTAGAGTTAGCGTCTCTCGTCTTCCCAGGTCAGTGTTACTCATTTTTAAAAGTTTCTTTCTCTTGACAGAGAAATCTCGTTCTTCTGCTTTATCCCGAGAGATAGACCCACCCGCCCCTGGCGAATGCTGAGCCTGCCTTCTCAGGATTCCCCTTTGCTCGGGGGCTCCACTGTGCGCACGGCCACTTGGAGCTGGTGGCTGATAGGCTCCCGGGTGGTCTCACTGCCACCCCCCCCCCCCCGTGGCGATGACCTGCCGAGTCTCCCAGTGAGGACGGCAGGGACCACGGCTGACATTTCCGCTGCTCTTAACTGTCCATCGGTTGTCAGGCTAACACGTTAGTGCACACCAAGGTCAAGAGAAGTGTTATTACTTTCGTGCAATTGGGTTGTTAAGGCCAGAGACCCAGAGCTGGGTTATCTTATCCACAATTCAGAAACAATTATCGGCAAGTTCAGGAATCAGGACCCTATTTATACTTACCTAGAACATGTATTAATTTTTTTAAATTTTATTTTATTATGTTATGTTAATCACCATACATTTACATCATTAGTTTTGGATGTAGTGTTCCATGATTCATTGTTTGCGTATAACACCCAGTGCTCCATTTTTAATGGAGCTCCATTTTTAACGTGCCCTCTTTAATACCCATCACTGGGCTAACCCATCCCCCCACCCCCCTCCCCTCTAGAACCCTCAGTTTGTTTCTCAGAGTCCATAGTCTCTCATGGTTCATCTCCCCCTCTGATTTCACCCCTTCATTTTTCCCTTCCTGCTATCATCTTCTTCTTCTTCTTCTTTTTTTTTTTTTTTAACATATAATGTATTATTTGTTTCAGAGGTACAGGTCTGTGATTCATCAGTCTTACACAATTCACATGGGGGAGGGTACGTGCTATGGTGAGCGCTGTGAATTGAGCTGAGGAATCACAGAACATGTATTAATTTAAGCCAGAATATCATTGGCTTCTTCCACTTACCAACAACTGCCAGTTAGTCCTCAAAACACAAACCCACATGTGAATGTCACAGTTCTCTGTTCTGGCTGAGGCCTGATGTCAGCTATATGCTCAACAGAATGGCAGTTTTCGGGAAAGTACAGGGTTTGATTGAAGCTAACAGATAACAATTCTTTATAATGGCCCTTCTGGTCGGGCCAGGAGAGGCATAATTAGCCACATTAGGCTCCTTTGTGACCAAGTCCATTTACTTGCCCCACATCACATGTACATCTTTTGAGTGACCTTGGGGAGGCAGACTCTGCTACAGGGGACCCTGCTGTGGCACGAGGACCTGCCTCCTCCCCTCATTCATTCGGTGGGATCTAACACTGGCTTGCAAACCCTGCTCCGGTCCTTGTGCAGAGCACAGGAGCAGACTGTGAGTTTGATTCTATCCTAAGATGGACCCTGAATTTTCCAGCTCACAGTGGATCTTCATGTCTACACAAGATCGTTTACTGTTTGTCTGGACCAGGGAACTTGACACAGGCAAAGACTACATAGGCTTCCCCTCAGAACTGATGGCAGAACCACCCCTCAGGGAGCCAGGGAAGCGGGGAGTCGGGCGAGATGGGAAAGAAGGGTGCTGATGTTGGGGTGGTAGCTCAGAGTGAGGAGAAGACCCTCACTTCCGCAGATGAGTACCGTCCAACAGAACTTCCATGGTGGCGAATATTCTGTACGTGGCCACTGAGTGCCTGAAGTGTGGCTAGTAAGGCTAAGAAACTGAATTTTTAATTCTATTTCATTGTAATGAATTTCACATTTAAGTTAAAATAGCCACGTGGGGCCGAATAGCTACTATATTGGACAGGGCAGTTTTAGATAGATCAATTAACACTATAATATTATTTTTTGTGGGTAGGTTCGAATAAGCATTTGATTTTCTAAGTTATTTCCAAAAGCTCCCATTTATTTTCTGGGCAAGAATGTAAAGAAAAGCCTGCCTGAGCTCCTCACGCATTTTGATGGCTCAGCAAAGAGGACAGCAAAAGGGGTTATGTGACCTGAGAGTGGGAAAGCCAGGCTTTTGCACATCAAAAAGGTGCTTTTTGTTTGTTTTCCTCTGATTTTAAGCGTCCTCTTCGTCAAGAAACCTTCAACAGAGTTATTAAATAAACACCAACAGGAGTGAACCAGGTGTTTTAAAAATGGCAATTCTCTCTGTGCACACCTGTAAAGAGATACATGCAATACATCCTATGATCGTGGTTCTTAAACCCTGGTCCACATCATCATTATTTGGGCAGCTTGTTAATACAGGTTCCTAGGCCCCCTCCCCAGAGATAATGATTTGGGGAGTCTGAGGTGGAGCTTGTGTTGGTATTTAAAAACAATGATTCTGATGGCAACCAAAGCTTGAGAACCATGAATTATTGTACATATTCTTTGAGATCTACCCAAAGAAAAAGCAGAATAGAGAGGTTCTTTAATGAGACCTAACAGTAAGCTGCCAGCTCTTTTGATCAGAGGAGGCAGGTCATGGAGGGCTTAACTCCAGGCTCAAGGCACTTCCTCAAGGACTGGCCCCCATCCCATCCACCCAAAGAAGGGGCAAATTTGAAACAGAGTCTTTGATTTCCAGTGGAGCTATACTCTGGACTGGATTTTAGAAAAAGAGGGGGAAACTTAGCTTTGAGCAGTCATTTAAAAAACTCTTTAAAGCAAAGAGAAAAAAAAAGAGATAAAAAACCAGACCCTTAACTACAGAGAACAAACTGGTGGTTACCTGAGGGAGGTGAGTGGGGGGATGGGTGAAGTCGGTGAAAGGGATTAAGAGTACAGATATCTTGATGAGCACTGAGTAATGTATAGAATTGTTGAATCATTATGTTGTACACCTGAAACTAATATAACACTGTATGTTAACTATATTTCATTGATAATAATAAACAAACCCTTAGAGCCCAAAGCTTTGGAGTAGAACAAATGGTTTAGGGGGCAAGATGAAGACAGCAAGCCGAGTCTCCATCAGGCTCTGATGCCGAAGAACAATTAAACAGGAGGACACTGAGTGTCTTCCAGAGTCAGGAAGGAATGCAAGAAGACAGCGTATCTTACCTGCAGGGCACTGAGGTCAGACCAGGTGATATTGGGAACCGCGGTCACGGGTTTGAACAATTTGCCTGGGAAGAATGGATTGTAATGTCCTGTGGCCGATAAGTACATTGATAATGCCATGTTGAAGGGCAGCGTGAAGACGGGGAGGTCCCATTTGCAGAACAAGGAGTTCAACGCACTTGAGAAAATTGGACTAAAAACAACAACAACCACAAAACAGAATGGAAGAACATGCATGTGACAAGTCGTTTGACAAACTGAATCTCTAGACTGGGGAGAGGCTTTGTTTCATGGGCAAAATGCTAACGTACTGTTGTTTCAGGAAACTTTTCACAGGGGGAAAAAGAAAGAAAACCAAAAAAACCCAAACTGAAACAAAAAAACAAACACGCGTGGAATAAATCCTGTCAGAGAATAATTCTTACATGAAGTCAAAAATCAACTCTTCGCTTATTTGGCTTTTGAAAAATTATACTCTGGGGTTGCTCACAGAGACTTATGAAATCTAGGTTTTAGAAATATTTTTGAAGTATTTTAGACATGAAGTAAAATACACAGTTAGAGCCCCCTGTGTAACCTACTTGATCATGGTACATGATCATGAGCCCCTCCCTCCTGACCAGACGCAACCGCCATCTTGAATTTCTGTATCATCTTCATGAGTCTTTAGTATATCTATTTTTGAAAAAGAGAAACAATTATCCAAGGGAGGATGTAAGGTGGTGTGGGCTGGAGGAAAAAGATCTTAAACTCGGGGTGGGAGGGGGAGCAGGAAGGGGAGGAACAGCTTTAAGTCAGGAATAGTTGGTGAACTATGTGACCTTTGGCAAGGAACTACTCCTCCATTTCCTGGTCTGTAGTCTGGGGGACTGGATTAGATTAGATTAGATTGTCTCTGGGCCCCTTTTGGGCTCTCACTTGTTAGCCCATCACTAAGGTCAGAACTTCAGATTATGGGAGGGGGTGTGGGGAGTCCCTGCTGATGACCCACTTCCTGTCCTAGAGCCTGTTTTTCGGAAATTACTTCCCGCTCAGATTGGCTCTGCCCGCAGACTCTCTCGCACACGCCTGTGGATGCAGGCCGGGGGGGCGGTGGGGGGCGCTGCAGACTTTGTCCAGAGTGGGCTACACTACTCATTCGTGTGGGTATTCGTGTTTTATATCCTAAATGTGCCATAGTAAGAAGGAAATGTATGCTTCCAAAAAACAAACAAAAAAGGACTTAAGAAACTAATTTGAAGGATTTAGAGTTAAAAAAAAAATCATTTTTTTTGAAGGATTTTTTGAATTCAGTAACGAAATTCTTTGAAGGCAGCAGGGGCAGGTGGATAAGGAGAGTTCATATAGGCACATACAGTGGTTCTCAAAGTGTAGTTCCTGGATCAGCCACCTCACCTGGGAACTGGTTAGAAATGCAGATTCTTAGGCTTCATCCTGGATGGACTGAATCAGAAGCCCTGGGGAGGGGGGCTGCAGGCTGTGTTTTCACAAGCCCTGCTGGTGATTCGGTAGTGTGCACGGTGGAGGACCGCTGATGGAGGGCATGGTTCTCAAATTTGGTTGTACTTTAGAAACCCCTGCGAGCCCAGGCGACACCCCAGACCAATTACATCAGAATCTCAGGGGATGGTGGCGGGGGGATGAGGTGTGTATGGAAGGTCACACGCATCAGTGTGTTTGATGCTTCCTGTTTCCAATAGACATAAACCGAATTTAATTTTAAAAAATTATTTTGCTAAAAATTGTTAGACATATGTACCATAAAATTGACCATGTTAACCATATTAAAGTCTGCGGTTTCACTTGCATTCAGTTCATTCACATTGTCGTCTAACCATCACTGCTGTCCATTCCTAGAACTTTCTTCATCTTGCAAAACTGAAACTCTGTACCCATTAAACAGTAACTCTCCATTCCCTCCTCCCCCCACATATTTTTTTTTAAAGGTATTTTGGACAACCAGGTACAACTTACCAAGTCATGGACATAGCAGACACAGGGAATAACAGCCACCAGAAATAGTTGCCCTTGTCTGAAAAGACAGCCATGAGGATTCCCAGCAGCGTGGCATTGTAGCCCTGGAGTCCTGCGGCGATTGCGGACCTGCGGGCGAGAGGCACAGTGTGGGCACGTCCTGGGTGGACACTGGCTGGACTTGCACATAAATGATTCTTGCAACTTTCAGATCATATTCCCATTAGGAAATGAGATTATATTTAGAAATTTATTCCAAAGTCTGTAAAAGCCAAACACTATTAAAATCATGGGCAAAAATGAAATATACATAGATAGGGATAAAATAGAAATGTGCATATAGAACAACCCCCTTCAGAGGTGTCCTAGCAAGACAAGATTCCAGCATCCAGGTGCAGAAAAGGAAATGAGAGAGGCAGCTTGTCCTGCTTCCTTTAGCCTTTCCTTCAGAAAGTTATTTCTCCTGTGTCATTAAGGGCCTTTGATCTGAACAGAGTTGTTCCATGAAACTGTTCTCTAAGTCTGACATTCTTGGTGAGAGGTGTAAGATGGTCCAACTGTAAATTCACTTTCGTAGTGTTTGTGACCTTAAAAACATTAATCTTCCAACGAAGCATACATTTTCATCTTCCTGTGCTTCCATTTTGTGGTCTCCAAATATACATTTCCAAATTATTGCAAAGAAAAATAATTAACTGGGCAGAGTATTCCATTTATGTGCATATTTAGCACCAAATTCATTCTTGGGTTCCTTTTTGCCTCTCAACCTTCTGAAGGTTGACCTATTGTCTTCCTTAACTAATCTTTTGGGACATGTAGGAATTGATGGGATTTTTGCTGGTTTAACTCTGGAAGTGATACTCTCTTCTAGAATTTGGGAATATACATGAGGACAGTGGACAGCTAGGCAAAGACTCGCCTTCTCAACAAGGGACTTGCAGATTGAATGCTTGGCCGCCATTGCTTTAATGGCAATGTCAGCAAGTTGTGGAACACCAGAGTTAAAACAACAGACACTGTGTATTCACTTAAAACAGGATTGCTATTTTAATGTGGTCCTTTAGGACTGAGGAAAGTAAGAGAGAATTGAAAATCAACACATATAAATATGGCTTGCCTTCTAAATAATACCTGATAAGGAAAATGGGTCAATTTTTGCTGGAACAAAACAATGAAGGAATATTTGATATGGTACAATCCTGGACCACACCTTCAAACTGGATGCACTGTTTCCTGATGTGCATTGGAATAGGATTTAACCTGACCTATGGAGAACAAATCAGGCCCCTTGGACCTGAAGGGAAAGTGGAACATTTTCGGATTCTCTCTCTGAGAAGCTCCTTAGGTAACTTACAGTAAATATTACAAGAGCTTAGTTGTGTAATGACCCTCCACTGGTGCTTTCATTGATCCTGGACACCTAGAAGACCAGCAGCCTCCCTGACAAAACTAGAAAGTCAGGAGCTGTCTAATCCCATGGTGGGAGTTCGCTTATCACTTCCTCAACAACAGATCAATTTATAAAGTACGTGCTATTTTTAACCCAATACATAGTTCAGAAGACACACTTACACGTCTTAAGTCAGAACTAATTAACTTGGAATTTGTGATTATTCATCTCTCTAGAAACTGAACTAACATCTGCACTGTCTATAAAGAATGAATTTACCAAACTAAGCATGCAAACAATATACAATGGGATTAGTCGGGATTTTTAAGTCACCAAGACTTTTCAAGAACTCATATGCTTGTGTTGCCTGAGTGGCTCAGTCGGCTAAGTGTCTACCTTCGGCTCAGGTCATGATCTCGGGGTCCTGGGATTAAGCTCTGCGTTGGGCTCCTTACTCAGTGGGGAGTCTGCTTCTCCCTCTCCCTCTGCCCCTTCCCCTGCTTGTGCTCTCTCTCTCTCTCAAATAAATAAATAAATAAATAAAATCTAAAAAAAAAGAACTCATATGCATTTTTACCCACACAAAATGCTGATGATAAATAATTGATTAATCATTGAAGAAGAATGATTTAGTGAATGACTCAAGAGAAATAATAAAGGATATAAATAATCCCCTGACCTCTGGCTCAAGACAAATATAGAGTTCTGTAGAATAAAGGTGGGTTTTTCTGGGAAGGGTGGGGCTTTATCACTGATGCCCAATTCACTGATTAACTCCTGTGTTCTCAGAAGCAGGAAGAGCAGGCTGGGATGGATGCACCTACCTGTCCTGGGCAAGCAATAGGGCTGTCAGGGTGGAGACCACTGTTCCCACACAGCCACTGAGAGCCCACCAGGGATTCTGGACCAGGAGTCCAACCAGAATCAGGATTCCACTGATGGGGTTGCTGACAAACACCACTTGGGATATGCCCCGAAGAACCCAATCAACGAACTGGAGCACCTGTGGTTTGTCTGGAAGAGATGAGATGGACAGAGCTAAGGAAGTGACAAGTCAAGGTGCTCCCTTCCACGCCCAGTGCCCACCCTGAGTAAAATCATCAAAATCCCCTCTGATAAAGGTGAAACTAATTTGTGATATTCCTGGAAGCTTTTTCCCTCTGAGCCATTTCCCCTTTAGTCGTACCCAGGTCCCCGAAAACCTCCAGTTTCTTTACGCTCAACCCACACTGCCCTTATTAGAATCTCCACTGCAGAAAGCACTGAATGCACTTATTTACCATGCTCAGAGGTACAGACTCTTAAGCTAAAGAAATGAATTATTAGAGTAAAACTTCAGTTTTTAAGTACTGAAATTATGGGCTGGAGCCAGGTGCTTTCCTCTAATTTGAGTAGGTCCCTGGCCCTAAGCACTATCTCCATAAAAAAATATTTGAAGAGGCTTGCAGGTTGGAAGATAAAAAATTAGGGGCGCCTGGCTGGCTCAGTCGGTAAAGCACGTGACTCTTCATTTCAGGATTGTAAATTTGAGCCCCATGTTGGGTATTGAGATTACTTAAACATAAAATCTTGGGGCACCTGGGTGGCTCAGTGGGTTAAGCATCTGACTCTTGATTTTGGCTCAGGTCCTGATCTCAGAGTTGTGGGATCAAGC